ATCTATCTATCTATCTATCTATCTATCTATCTATCTATCTATCTATCATCCATCTCTCTTTATCTATCTATCTATCTATCATCTATCTATCTATCTATCTATCTATCTATCTATCTATCTATCCTATCTATCATCCATCTCTCTCAATCTACCTACCTACCTACCTACCTACCTACCTATCTATCTCTATCTATCTATCTATCTATCTATCTATCTATCTATCTATCTATCTCTGTCATCTTGCCCTGCCACTGTTGGTGGGGTGTGGTTTTCTCCTGGGCACTTCCTTGATTGAGGTATTGTTTTCTGCTTGATTGTTGCCTGGTGTCCCTGTTTTTTTGTGATTAAACAATAGCTACATTTGGGTACTGAACCATCAATATGAAAGAGGGGAAAACTATGTGGGAACAAGTAGAAGAGGGTATTTATAGTTCAGAATTGAAACGTAGGGTGCTTGGGGCTCTCTGAAGCTGGGTTGTTTTCTTACAAACGTTTCATGACCCAACTAGGGAACATCATCAGTGCAAAAAGAGTGGGGTTTGTGGAGAAGAGGAGGAGGAAGAGGAGGAAGGCAGGAGGGAAAAGGATGGGAGGGAGGGAGAAGGAGGAGAACTGTGGGGTCCTTGTTGCTCTCTGAGCATAATTGTTTTCTTGCAGACATTTCATGACCCAACTAGGTAACATCATCAGTGCAGGGAAGTGCGGGTCCCCTGTTTATATGCAATAATGTTTGCAATGGCAGGATTAGCGATGATGTCGTCTTCTCCCTGGTAGTTCCTTGATGAAGCTCTCTTGTTTTTTTGCTTGGTTGTTTGTCCAGTGTTAGCTATTTTTTAATCGTCTCTTTCGCATGGGGTCTAAACGGTGTCAATTCTTTGTGCCTTATGAACGTTGCGTCTATGAAATAAAACTTCTGGGCTTTTTTCTCAGTTCCCTAATCGGGGTGTGGTTTATCTTCCGTTACATTTCCTGGTACAACTGTTGATTCTTTGCTCAGTACTTGCAAACAGTGCAAGAAAAGAGCCCATACCCGATTGTAAACTCGGTGTGTGTGTGTGTGTGTATTTTGGGTGGGGGGAGTTGGATCCTTAAAAATGAAACTGGTGGAAAAGGGGAAAGGCCTCCATTTTTTTTGCACAAGACAAAACGGCACAAACTCCTACTGAGTGTAACTGTACATTTGCATCCAGAGTTTTATGTTTTTCAGTTTTAGCTGGAATTTAAACTCTGCTCTCTTGTATTTATCTTGTATTTATTTAGAGAAGGTGCATAGGGCCTTTCACTAACTACAGGTAAGTCCTGTAATTAAGACCACAATTGAGCCCAAAACCTATGTTGCTAAGTGAAACCTTTGCCGAGTGGCTTTGCCCCGTTTTACGATTTTTCTTGCCACCGTCGTTAAGTGAATTGTTGTATTGGTTAAATTAGTAACCTGGTTGTTAAGGGAACCGGGATTTCCCCCATTGACTTTTCTGGGGATCACATGACCCTGGGAATGTGACGGTCGCAACTATGAACCAGTTTCCAAGCATCTGAATGTTAATCATGGGGATGCAGCAACGGTCGTAAGAGTGAAAAACAGTCATCGGTCACTTATTTCAGGGCCCGTGGTCAGTTTGAACGGTCACTAAATGAACTGTTGTAAGTCGAGGAGAGCTTTCGAAAAATAAAAATAAAGTATAAAAAGAGTTTATCATTAAGTAGCTGGATACCCGTGCTTCGCTAAGAAACTATGTGATCGGGCTTAGTTTTTTGGGGAGGAAAATAAGGGGGGGAAAATTCGGCCTCTGCCTACCAGCATCCATCGGTATTCATCTGGCTAGCGTCCTGTCAGTGTGTGAGAGAGTTGAGGGCTGTTTGGAAACTGAAACAGTATTTGCTGTGTGAGCAAGGAGGAGACAGCAAGGAGCCTGGGTGTGGCTTAGCTCAACTGTTCTGTACTAAAGCTGGTTGCTGCTGTGAAACTGAAACTCCTCTGCTTGTGTTTTGAATTTGGAAGAGATTTCTTTCCAGGTGGGGAGGGGGAGTAGAACTTCTTAGCATCAGAGCGTATTATTAATAATAATAATATAGGAAATACTCTAAATGCTCTGATGGTCATTTGGGAAAATCCTTTCTTAGTGAGCCCTTAGAAGCCAAGAGGAACATACCTGCCAAATTTCAAGTTCTGGAGATCTTGTGATGATGCGTGAGTGGTATTTTCGCATTTATATATATATAGAAGAAAGAAGATAGGCGTCAGATCCGTGTATCTGTCATTTCTTCAGTGGAAGAGGAAAAGGGGGGGGGGGGGAGACTGATAAAGAAATCCTTTCTTGATGTAACCTGAATATATTTAATCTTATATCGAATTTGTATAACTGACACATGATACAAGGGAGGGAGGAAACCCAGGTGGCCGGAACGTATCACCTCTGAGAGGCACAGCCAGCAGATGAGAAGACCATGAAAATTCCTCGGTGAGAGGTGACCAGGGAACCTCTGGAAAAGTTCGTTGTGAAAAGGGGGTGGCGGGAAATTAGCTATGCCCTGAGAAACTGAAAAAGATCGTTTCTACAAAAAGGGTGGTGGTGGGGAATTAACATACCGGCTTTTGTTCCACTAAATACACCTCGAGATAAGGGGAGGGGCTCTAAACTCCCTTATCTATCCCTGTATGCCTGAGAGACCTTAGACGCTGCTTTGAACTCCTACAGGAATTGTCTCGTCTCAATGAAGGATTCCTTTTGATACCTTTGGTTTTCAGAAGTTCATTCTCGTTCATTGAATGGGGAAAAGTTCTGTAGCGATGTCCATTTCTCCGTGGGAGCAATTTTAGTTCATTTTCTTTTCATTCACCCCTAACTATAAGAATAAGTTGGTGGGATGGTGTCCAACAGTGTGAAACACACTTGTGTTGTGGTGCTGTGGACCTTTAAAAAAAAATTGTCCAGGCCCTGGAAATACTGGCAGTCCTTGACTTATGTTTAGTGACTGTTCGAAATTACAACGGCCTTGAAAAATATGACTTATTACCTTTTTCCACGCTTACGACCGTTGTTTGCATCCCACAATGTTCACAGTATTCAAATTCAGACCCTTGGAAATGGACTCGTATTGATGATGATTGCAGTGTTCTAGAGTCACCCGATCCCCTTTTGCAACCGTCTTGACGAGCGAGGTCAATAAGGGAGCCGGATTCACTTAACAACCGTATTACCAATTGAACAAATGTCCTGATTCGCTTAACAACCGTGACCAGAAAGGTAAAATGGGGCCGAACTTGCTTAACAACGTAGCTGCTGAAATTTGGAGTGTGTGTGACCCTCGGCATGCTTCAATGGCTGCAAACGGTCGTAAGATGCTTTCACAGAGCCGTGGTAACTTGGGACGGTTGCTAAAGGAACGGTTGTAAGTTGAGGACTGTCTTGTGTCGGGGTTGAATAGTGCCCGATTTCTCACAGCATTTGTCATGCCCCTATCGGAGTCTGACTCTGAGGGAGAGGAGGAACAGCCGACAGGAAGTGGGAGTGTGGCTCCGGAGGTTGTGGCGGAAATTGGGAAGGGCACAGGAAGTCCATCCCCTCTTCATCCTCGGGCATGCAGGGAGGAGTGGATAAGGGAGAAACATGAATGGCTGGTCTACAGGGGAGGAAGGGGCCCTGATTCCCTTCATGGACTGCAGCTGTGAGGGCTGTTTAAAAGGACAAACCGCGCATGGCCCAGTGCTGGAAGCAAAGCGTGAAATAATTCTGGTTTGTCAAATCTTATCTGAGTTCTGACATCCTCACCAGTGTGTGCGTTTCGATATCTGTGGACGTCTTTGAGCCCTTACCCTGCCTTGTCTCATTAATTGCTTCAGTGTGGTTTGTGTGGGTTTTTTTTTCTTCTGTTTATAATTTATATATATTTTGAGTTTGAACGGGATTTCTTCCTTTTCGCAACTGTTTGTGAGGGAGTTTTTTTTTTCTCTCCAGTCAATGATCATTGGAGCTTTGAAGCCACGTGGAAGGAATTAACGGGACTTCACCTGTTTTTGTGACTCCGTTGCTTGTGCATCGCACGCTGGGTCATCACAGTGTTACTTCTTTCTCCCCGCAGATTGGAAGTCTTGCAGCCTGAAGCTGAGACATGTCTGGGCCCAAAATGCCATTTTCGACTGCAACGACGGACGTCAGAGTCACCAGTTGGAGGAAGTAAAACTCACTTGGGGGGGTTTTCCGGCCTCAGATCCTGGGTTCAAGTCCGGTCACCGTCTTTTAAGGAGGATTAGGAGCATCAGAAAGAGGTAAATGTTCTGACCCGGGCTTCTTCCCAAGATCACGAAGCCGAACTCCTCGTCCCAATAAAAACCCATTTTATTTAGGTTCAAGGGAATTCCTCTCCAGCAAAGTCGCGGCCGACAGCCTTTCATGAGATTTCACAACCACAGATGTGAATCAGGCTGGGAGAGTTGCCAGGCCGATAGCTTCCAAACGCCACGCTGTAGCAGCAATGACTTGGCAAGGAGTCAGGAACAAATCTTCACCCTAATGAATTGAACTAATTGTTTCCTGCAAATCCCACTCCCCTTTTGCTCCTCTTTTATTCCCTAGGGGAGGGGCCATTCACTGTCCACCTGAGCCTTTATTCCCGAGTCGACCCTTGTTCCTTAGCTGTTCCCTTCGTCTGGCAGCTCTGTGCATGCGCACACTGGGAACAGGCTCCAGCTGTTCTTCTTCCCCACTGATCTCTGACTCTGAAGGCAGCTGATAACTGTCGGGCAGCCCTGGCCCCATCAACAGTGAAGAGAAGAGCAGTGAAACCAAACCCAGGTAACCCTGAATTTACGACTGTGTGTTTCGTGACTGTTGCAGACCGTTTAGCGACTGTGGCAGCCTCGCCGTGGTCCCATGATCAGAGTTCAGAGGCTTGGCCACTGGCGTGTACTTACGACAGTTGCATGTCCTGGGGTCACGTGATCCCCTTTTGCGACCGTCTGCCCTGTAAAGTCGACGGGGAAGCGGGATTCATGTCACAACCCGGTTAGCAGCTTCGCAGTGGCAGGGATTCGCTTAACGACTGTGGCAAGGAAGGGCGTGGAATGGGATGAAACTCTCTTAATGGCTCAGCAGTGGAAACGTTGGGCTCGATTGTGGTCGTAAATCGAGGACTAGATGTGATAGACCCTCTAAAAGCAAAAAGTGGGCAGCTAGGGCCCCTTTATGACCTGTGGTCATGTGATGACTCCCTTAATGACTGGCTTACAGTCCTTGACTTACGATGTACAACTGTAATTTGGGGCACTTTTATGTGTCGTAAGTGGAGGAACACCGGAAAGTTGTCCAGGAGCAAACTCATGGTGGGTTTTTCTTCTCTGTCAGAACGCAGAGAAGTGGAAACCTGGATTGAAGTCACTGGAGGGAAGAGATTCTCCTTCAATGTCGGAAGCAGCTTTGGGTCAGCTGGGGAAGTAGAGACCCACAGAGCAGGTAAGGCTGTTCCCTTGAAGGGGCTTTCATTTGGGGTCCTGCCCCAAGCAGGAAAGGTACCCCTTGGCCTAAATTGCAGGGTAGGATAGGGAAGGGTTGGGTAAGCAGGGAAGGGTAGGGTAGGATTGCGTAGAGTAAGGTTGTATAGGGTAGGGTAAGATAGGGTCGGGTTGGGTTAGGTAGGTTTCTGTAGGGTAGGATTGTATAGAGTAGGGTAAGGTAGGGTTGGGTAGGGCAAGGAAGGGTACAGTTGGGTAGGGTTGTATAGGGTAGGGTGAGTTAGGGTTAGGTAGGGTAGGGTTGGGTTGGGTAGGGTTGTATAGGATAGGGTTGTATAGGGTAGGGTAAGATAAGATTGGGTGGGGTAAGGTAGGGTAAGATATGGTAGGG